ACAGGCCTCGTCATATCCTGGGTATTCCCAACCTCCCGCTGCTTCCTCAGCTTCTGGAAGGTAATTTTGGGGGGATTTGTGGGGTTTTGGGGGAAATTGTGGGATTTTGGGGGTGTTTTTGGGATACGGGATGGGGCAGAGCTCCCAGAGCTCCTATGGACAGGCTTCATCATATCCCGGGTATTCCCAACCTCCCGCTGCTTCCTCGGCCTCTGGAAGGTGATTTGAGGGGATTTTGGGGGAATTTGGGGGATTTTGGGGGGTTTTGGGGCTCTGGGATGGAGGTTTTGGGATATGGGACAGGGCAGAGCTCCCAGAGCTCCTATGGACAGGCCTCATCCTACTTTGAGTCTTCTCAAGTTCCTGTGGCCTCCTCGGCCTCCAGAAGGTGGGATTTGGGGCAAATTGTGGTGGTTTTGGGGATTTGAGGGATTTTGGGGGGATTTTGGGGGTTTTGGGGTGGTTTAGGGGGTGTTTTGGGGATATGGGACAGGGCAGAGCTCCTACAGACAAATCTTATCCTAATCTGGGTTTTCCCAACCTCCTGCTGCCTCCAAAAGGTGGGATTGGGACAAATAATCCTAAATATAAGTTTTTCTGTCAAATATATTTATTGGGGATTTATTAGGGTTGGTTTGATAATTAAAAGCCCTAAAAAGAACCTTAAAAAAATAAAAATACAAAGAAAAAACTGCTAAGAACAGGAAGTTTTTATGAGTTAACAATCGATTGTTACGATTTCTCTGCTAATTAATCATGTGATAATTGATTGTTGATTAGTAATAAATCAGTTTTGAGGGTAAAAGGGGCGGTTTTGGTGATTTTTGGGGTGTTTTTTTTTTCCCAGCTACCTCTGGAAGGTGAGATTGGGGTAAATAATCCCAAAATCAACTTTTTCTATCAAATATATTTATTGGGGATTTATTAGGGCCGGTTTGATAATTAAAAACCCCCAAAAAGAAGCTTAAAAAACCTAAATAAAGATAAAAAGAAAATCGATAAGAAGAGAAAGTTTTTACTGTTTAAGGATTATGTGCCTTGATTGTTATGGTTTTTTCTGCTAATTAATCACGTGATAATTGATTGTTGATTAGTAATAAATGAGTTTTGAGGGTAAAAGGGGCGGTTTTGGTGATTTTTGGGGTGTTTTTTGCAGCTACGGCAGCGGCTCCGGGAGCTCGAGCTACGGGCAACCCCCGAGCGGGGGGTACAGCCAAGGGCAAAGCTACAGCGGGGGCCAGCAGAGCTACAGCCAACAGTCCTCCTACAACCCCCCTCCCAGCTACAGCCAGCAGGGCCAGTACAGCTCCCAGGCCTGTGAGTCCTTTTGGGGTCATTTTGGGGTCGTTTTGGGGGATTTGGGGTCGTTTTGGGGTGAAATCGGTGTGATTTGTGGCCTGTGACGTGGATGTACAATCAATGGGAACAGTCGTCCTACAACCCACCCCCCAGCTACAGCCAACAGGGACAGTACAGCTCCCAGGCCTGGGAGTACTTTTGGGGGGATTTGGGGTCATTTTGGGGGATTTGGGGTCATTTGGGGTTTGTAATAGGGGGTAACAGCCCCCAGCAGAGCTACAGCCAACAGTCGTCCTACAACCCACCCCCCAGCTACAGCCGCAGGGCCAGTCCAGCTCCCAGGCCTGGGAGTTATTTTGGGGTGAAATCTGGGGGATTTGGGGTCATTTTGGGGGATTTTGGGGTCTCTTTGGGGTGAAATTGGTGTGATTTGTGGCCTGTGACGTGGATGTACAATCAATGGGAACAGTCGTCCTACAACCCCCCTCCCAGCTACAGCCGCAGGGCCAGTGCAGCTCCCAGGCCTGGGAGTACTTTTGGGGTCATTTTGGGGTCGTTTTGGGGGATTTGGGGTCATTTTGGGGGATT